TTCAATGATAAGAAATGTATTTTTTTTTATCGACACTGCCGAGGTTACGTTTTGTGCGTCAAATGAAAACAAAGTACAGAAAAAAATAAAAATTGGGTTTGATTAATTTAAAAAATATATTGCAAATAATATTTCGGGGTGTTGATGCTATATTTCAGCCTAAAAGGATCAAAAACAAATTAATTGGTAATTAATGCCTGTTAGATTGATTTCAATCGTGCTGTTTTTGATACCTAATTGTAATTGATTTGATGTTTTGAATGATCATCATTTTTATGGGATTTATAGATTGTTGATTAGATAATAAAAATAATATTGTGAATTTTATTGGATTTTTTGGGTATGGATTAGTTGGAGGAGGATGATTAATGGCATAATGGCATGTGGATGCGATTTGAGGCCTATACAACCAGTGGTTATAATCCAGTGGTTCTTAAACTGTGTGCTGCGGTACACTAATGTGCCACAAAAGGTTTTCAGGTATTCCACGAGATAATTTGTAACATCAAATTTTCCAAATGTCCACGATATTGAATTGAATTGAATTGAATTGAATTGAATTGAATTTATTCATTATTTTCCTTCGTCCATGGAAAAAGCTCCCTAAAACAGTACTTTAACTGTTTGAAGGAGCGCAAAAAACCTTGATTGATGCTTTTTCTAATATTTTAATATGGCTGTAAAGTTTGGATCAGAGTTGCGATACTGGCACGTGTGTACATGTGAGAAACGTACAATTCCTTGATAATTTATAAGGTTTTTTCAAACAAAACCATATAAATTCTAATAAAACCTCACAAATTATCAAGAAATTGTACAGTTCTAACCTTTGCACAGGTGTCTGTATCGCAACCCTGGTTTGGATAGAAGGGAAGAGGGGTAGGCGGGTAAGTGGGACATCATATTGGGAAATAATTTCGTGGATATAAAGCTTTTGATCCCAAACCCGTCCCATTGTGATTAAACCTCAGATTCTGAATATCCTAGACTCTCAATACGATCCTAACCCATCCTAACCTCAAAAAATCATCTAGATACCCCTTCTGTTGGGTTACCGACAATTCCCCACTGTAATTTCGCCACTTTACATTTGGCCACTGACATTTCACCACCACTACATTTTGCCACCTGTACATTTTGCCACTATTTATTTGCCCACTATTTATTTGCCCACCTGTTTTTTTCGCCACTGCTTTTTTCGCCACCTTTTATTTGGTCACTATTTATTTGCCCACCTGTTTTTTTCGCCACTGCTTTTTTTGCCACTAATCATATGGCCACAAGTTTATTTGCCCACTGATTTATTTGCCCACTAAAGCAAATGATAAAATAAAAAATTGTAAAAAATATTGAAAAAATTTTGTTAAAAAAACATGAAATTTTTAAAATTATTTTTTGGAGCATTTATGGAATAATTGGCCATATTTGGGTGTTCTGAAAAAATCATGCGACCGTACGTAAATGTGCTTGAAGGTGTAACGATATATTGAGATTTGAATAATCTCTCTTCTCTGGCTTGGACTTATCATCACTTATCCACTCTTGCTTCCTTCATTTATTTTATTCTATTTTTCCTTACTAGTTTTTATTAATTTTAATGTTTAAAAAGCTTTAAAGGTTTAATTAACTCTCAATTCGAATAGAAATTAAACGTGACGTAAGGATGCTGGGTTATAAGTCCAGAGATTATAAGTCCAGGTACAAAAATCGTGCACAGAAAATTATAAGTCCAGAAAATCAAAGTCAATAAAGGTTTATAAGTCCAGATACAAATTGCACCTGGACTTAAAAACCTCACCTGCAGTTTATAATTCCAGGTACAGATACTGCTGGAATTATAAACTGCACGAGAGGTTTTTAAGTCCAGGTACATTTTATATCTGGACTTATAAACCTCACGTGTGGTTTATAATTCTAGAAAATTTACAAATTTTACTTATAATCTCCCAGTGCGATTATAAATCCAGATACATTTTTCTGGACTTATAATCCTTGAAAATTATTTGATATTATTTTAAATTTTTTCATTTAAAGTAATTCTTCACATGAATTTTTGAAAACTTCACAAAAAGAATTCACATTTCTCTGGTTTTTTTTCCTCTAAAGTACCATATAGGGTAAATTAAAATTTGCGTGTTTTGAGACTTGGAATTTTCAAACGCTTGTAACTAATCGACGAATTGACATTGTGACCTACTAATGGTCTTGAAATGTTAAGAGTCGTCGATATTTTTATTTTTGATCATGTAAAGGTTTTTGCGCTGCATCAATTCAGAGAAAATTGACATTTAAGTTTTCATTTTGAAATTTGCGCAAAAATATTTTGAAATTTGCGCACTTTTTTGATAGTAATCTTTGCCTTATACTATTTAGCATCAAATTACAGCTGTACTAAAATTACAGCTGTAGATTACAGATGAACTTACGTCGTTACGTAAAAATCAATTTACAGCTGTAGTTTAATGTGTATAAGTAAAAACAGTAGTAAATATAGATGGTGTTTATAGCTTAGACAAGTGCTTAGCTGTCCTTACAGTTAATGTAATTTTTCGTAAATTCTGCTGGTTTTGACTATGATTTTACCTTTTACAAAAAGATTGAATAGAAAACAAGGTACAGTAGCGTGTAAAAATTTATAAAAATCACGTTTTTCGCTCTGGATGTTAACATTTAAAATATAAATAATACAAGAATAAAAAGGGGAAACAAAATCCTCTTTGCTTTGTTTTCTCACAGAATGCAAAAAACTGATTTTTCAATCTGAACAAAACCAATTGATTCACACGTGAATACGGTATGAATATAAAAATTTGAAATTATATCAAATAATTTTCAAAGATTATAAGTCCAGAAAAATGTATCTGGATTTATAATCGCACTGGGAGATTATAAGTAAAATTTGTAAATTTTCTGGAATTATAAACCACACGTGAGGTTTATAAGTCCAGATATAAAATGTACCTGGACTTAAAAACCTCTCGTGCAGTTTATAATTCCAGCAGTATCTGTACCTGGAATTATAAACTGCAGGTGAGGTTTTTAAGTCCAGGTGCAATTTGTATCTGGACTTATAAACCTTTATTGACTTTGATTTTCTGGACTTATAATTTTCTGTGCACGATTTTTGTACCTGGACTTATAATCTCTGGACTTATAACCCAGCATCCTTACGTCACGTTTAATTTCTATTCGAATTGAGAGTTAATTAAACCTTTAAAGCTTTTTAAACATTAAAATTAATAAAAACTAGTAAGGAAAAATAGAATAAAATAAATGAAGGAAGCAAGAGTGGATAAGTGATGATAAGTCCAAGCCAGAGAAGAGAGATTATTCAAATCTCAATATATCGTTACACCTTCAAGCACATTTACGTACGGTCGCATGATTTTTTCAGAACACCCAAATATGGCCAATTATTCCATAAATGCTCCAAAAAATAATTTTAAAAATTTCATGTTTTTTTAACAAAATTTTTTCAATATTTTTTACAATTTTTTATTTTATCATTTGCTTTAGTGGGCAAATAAATCAGTGGGCAAATAAACTTGTGGCCATATGATTAGTGGCAAAAAAAGCAGTGGCGAAAAAAACAGGTGGGCAAATAAATAGTGGGCAAATAAATAGTGGCAAAATGTACAGGTGGCAAAATGTAGTGGTGGTGAAATGTCAGTGGCCAAATGTAAAGTGGCGAAATTACAGTGGGGAATTGTCCTACACTCCTTCTGTTCCATCTATCATAAATAAAAGAGGCACCACAGCATAGCATTTAATTAAAAAACTCAATAAAAAATTGAAATTATTATTACACATAAACTGCCAATTAAGCTCTTATTTTGTTTATGCTGCTGACAATATTTTTTTAATACAGCTAATAATTTTGACCCTGGGGATACTTTTTTGTTTATATCAACAATTCTATTATTGTTTTACAAACACGTATAATCGAAAATACTGACTCGCACGCGTATGATTCCTTAAAAATCTTCGATACGCCCAATATTTCAAAGCTTCGACAAAAATTAAAAATAATTTCATAAATTTCATTCATATCGAAACTTGAGTTTTTAACTTATTTTTTTATTATCTAATCTTCTTCTGATTGGCGTCCATTATATTTCAATTTTTTGTTTCAGTCACAACATGTGAATGTGCGATAAGACAAAAACAGTGAAAAGTAAGTTACAAATATCACATGTGAGTCAAGACATGAAAGTTAAGTAATATGAAATATGGCATAGGCTGTACTTAAATATTTAAGAGTCGAGAGATTTTTTTGTGCCTTTAAAAAATTCATGAGATGTCTAGCATAAAATTTTCTTGCATCCAAGAAAAAGAGAATAATTTTTTTGTACCTTTTGCTTTTAAGATTCTTCTGTTTTGTCCATACATAATAAATGTTGCAGACATTGCCTACTGTCTTATATTGTCTATCAACAAGACAATACTTTAGATAAGAACATTGATTTCAAGTTTTTTCTAGCTCGTAATTGATAAAATGAGTTATTTATTGCTTATTTATTGGTAAAGGAAATGCTGTCTTCAAGGGCGATCTTTGACTTCATAATGGAGTTTCTTGATAAGAGTTTTAGTAGACTTAGGCAAAGCCTAGGTTAGATCTGGGGAGTGATAGAACATGTCGAGGTGCATCCAGAAATTTTGGTCGAGTTTCATTCGTTTAAATGTTTTTTCAAAAAATTCTAGCAAATTAAAACAAAATTCCTTAAAAGGATGGAACTGCGATATGACATATCCTGAATACGCTCCTAAGAGGATGGTTTCTAAAAAATTTCGCAAAAATCAATATCCCTTTGATTATGATCCTGGCTTGAAATTTCAAAGTAGGAAGAGAAGCAGAGGAGATGAAAATGTTTTGTTAAAAACCTATAAAATCCTATTTCCCTGGCTACGTCTCCGACTAGGCAAACTGCTTTGATTCTCGAGAAGGATTTTGTTCACTATTGTCTTATAGTCACTAGGGTCATTCACATCAGTTTTGTAATTCAGGTGTCTTTGCACCAGAGTTTAGATCTTCCAGATTCAGATACCTTTACACTTGATCTTCCAGGTTCAGGTGCCTTTACACTAGATATTTCTGATGCAAGTGCTTTTACACAACATCTGTCATTTTCAGGTGCCTTTACACTAATTCTGTCAGATTCAGGTGCATTTACACAAAATCTGTCAGATTCAGGTGCCTTTACACTAATTCTGTCAGATTCAGGTGCATTTACACAAAGTCTGTCAGATTCAGGTGCCTTAACCCTAAATATATTTGATTCAGGTGCCTTCATACTAGATATGTACGTCAAACTTGATTTTTTTAGATTCAGGTGTCTTCACAATTAAAAAAGTCACTAGGGTCAGTAAGTTACTTGGGTCATAAAATAATAAAAAGCCATAGCTTTATAATGTTTTATAAAATCTAATAAAAATGCCATTTATGGACATAAACTCACATTAAAAATTAATTTGGAAATAACAATTTCTCTTAAAATATTGCTTAATTATAGCTAATCTTGATAAAATTCACTCCTTAAACTAAGCCATAGAAAATTCTCAAACACTCCATCCACAAATGCCCCAAAAACTTCTTGAATCACCCCAAAAAGCAAAAAGCATTGTTATTCTAATTGTTATTAATTTACAAAGCGTCCATTGTCCATAGAATCCATATAAAATTCAGCATTAAACATTCAACCCCAATGAATAAAATAAATGATCCGATCATACAATGTAAAACTTTTCTCCCCCTTTTTGAGTATTAAAAACCTACGCTCAATCGAGCAATATCATATGATGTAATACAGAAAAACAATATTGTTGTCATAAATAGATGGAAATAGCTTTGGCATGCCTAACGAGTGAAAAATGTCATAAAAATAAAAATAAAAGGAGGGAAAATATATTTTCTATGCTGACCTTCTGGTTTTATTGGATGCATAGGATGGTTGAATCTCGTCTGGAGATTTTTATTCTTATGTCTTTGGGGGTTGTTGGATGATGACGACGTTCATTCAAATAAGCAAAAACATCTAAAGCTGAACAGACATTATTGCCAAACATCTCCTCGTATGTAAAGCAACTTCATATTTAAATACATGATGCCAGCTATAAAGCTGAAGTACTTTAACCTAACTTTGTGTCTTTTCATAGGCATAACAATTTCAAGGCGAAGGAGGTGAAGGTGAACTAGAATCGAGTGCCTATTGTGTACAGGTTATGATCTAGAAAATTGCCGTTAGGAATGAAAACTGTTGAGTTATTCAGCATGACTGTAAATGAGAAACATTAAAAGCGGAAAAATGTTACTGAAAAAAGTAATTTTCTTTGAACGGTCGGGTTCATGACAATTTTTGACGCCTGTTTGCCTTTTTTTTTAAATATTCCAATCTCATAGAGAGGAGATTAATTGAGCAATCAAATCGACTTTCCAAATGAGAAAATTTTAATACTGATTAGCATCCGCAGGCTGTGTGTCTTTTGTCGATGCGTATACGCGCATATGCTGATTGAGAAACTTTTTTTCTTTTTTGAACCCTTAAAAGATTAAAATTCTTTCATTATTTTGGCATCAATGAGGTTTAATGTTGATGTTTGAACAATTTTTCAATGCATATTTGAGGGTTAGAGATGAGATCAGACCCTTGAAGGAGGAGAAGATGGGTGGGAGGTGGAGAGGACATGAAATTGTGATAGGAGGATGATTAGGGTGTAGTTCGGTAATAAAACGTTGGATAGCATTCGAATGAGTAAAGATGGAACTAAACAAGGGGACAACAACATTCTTTGTCCATAAAAAGGGGACAACAACATTCTTTGTCCATAAAAAGGGGACAACAACATTCTTTGTCCATAAAAAGGGGACAACAACATGATGGTACACTACAAGGGGGCAACAACTTGTTTGAAAAAAGTTTCTCAAATCCTCGTCGTTGAGAGTAATTTCCCATCATGTTGTTGTCCCCTTGAGACTGCATAGACCCTAAAAAAACTTTTCGTTTTCAATCTTCACTTGAGCTTTAGAACACCTCCCCCCACCCCCCACCCACCAGTTCCTTCTAAATGCACTCCTAGCTTGACACCATAAAAAATTTCTAATGCTTTAAAAACTTTTTTCTACCGTCTCATTTTCTAAGAATGAAGATACGCGAGTAATAATCATTTGAGTATATAAAATTTTAATTCTTAAACGTTTTTTTTGTTTTTAAAAAATTGTTCATCTTGAGTCTTTTTATCTTCTTAAATATTTTATGGATTTGTTTGCTTCCACTCGATTTAAAGTCGGGCTAAAATGCTATATCATGCCATTCTTTTGTAACTGACTTTATCCTCAGCCAAGTATTTTTTGAATATGCGAAAAGCTCCATTTTTAAGGAGATTTTATTAAGCTTTGATTCTTATCTCAAAGCTATTCTTTACAATCTTATACGATCAAATACATTATGTGAATTTACAGCCGTGTTCATCTCGTGAAATGTTGAATTAAATGGGACAGAAAAAGATTCGAAAAATTTCCCATGATGATTATTTTTGCGAGGTCTTTTAAGCTCACATTACTTTATCGCTTCTGGCTCCGATGAAAATGCGGACGATCGTGGAAATGGATTTTCATAAAATTCGCGCAATTATGTCAAGTTAGATGAGTTTTATGACTTGATGATTTTGGGGAAAAATAATCCTTTTATGGCTGTCATTTATTATCATGCATTAATCGTTTTGTTACTTCTTTTTAAGGTTGAAATATGTGCTGTGTTAATGTGTTTTGGGAATGATGTTGTTTTGGGTACAACTTAAAGATATTTTGAGTCTTTGTATGGTGCAGAGTTGCACAACCTTCCCCCCTCTTCGAGACAATAACTCACCCCCCACCCCCTTATTACATTCAAAGTCAAAAAATCCTTTTCATTCCCATGTCATTACAATCATTTCATCTCACTTAACATCCTTGGTTTTTAGCATGGAAGAGGGGGTGGGGGGGAGGAGGGGAGGAGGGGCAGAACTATAAGTCTTACAATTCCAACTGTATCAATAAAACTCAATCAAATCGTAAATAATGACAAGAAATTTAAAAGTTCAAGGCACTGCCATAAGATATTCAAATTAATTTCTCCGACCTTCAATCACTGTTTCCACTTAGTGATTTCTTCATTTGTTCTTGTTGCTTCATAGTTTATAATAATATGAATTTCAATAATAAACCATTTCACATGAATACATGCATACATAATAATATTCCTGCGGTGTATGTGGAAACCCAATAAAAATATATGAGAAAAGTAACTTGCTCTCCTCTTCCATCTACTTGATGAAACCAGAAAAGTCAGACGATGAAAAAAAAAATCAATAAATTCAATTTCTATATTTATTTCACAAACATAACTTGTAGCTGCTTCCATAGAAGTTTTGCAAAATGAAAGGTCATAAATCTGTATAGATTTACAAGGCAAACTAAATTGGATTTTTCTTCTCTTTTCTTTCCTCTTTCTCTAATTTTATCGTTTTTATTCTGCTTAATTTTAAAGACTTTCTCACTCGCTCGGGCCACTTCAAGTTGGAAAAATTATGGCATAAAAATGCAGATTCGTCTATTTTTGCTCCTCGCAACTGGTGGATTGCTGACGAAATTAACAACTTTGTAGAAACTTTAATTTAATTAAATGCTTCATGCATACCAACTGACTATAATTTTATTTGAGGTCTGTGCAAACTCACTCTCTATAATTTAATTAATGAATTCATCATAACTTATTTTTAGCGCATTTTTGAAAACTTGTTTTCGAAAAGGGAGCTCAATAATACACTTTGTTCGTTCGTTCGTTCGTTCGTTCGTTCGGGCAAGCATAAAAACTTTGCAACCAGACATCGTAGAGAGCTCGGATTTGTTTTATTAGCTCCGTTACTATTGTTTATTGTCCGATCGAACAGTTAAAAGTCTTCAAGCAGTGTATTTATGCAATAATTAATGAGTTTTTTTTTTGTTTTCAGTGTAACCTGCTCAAATTTTGTTTTACCTCTATAAATTCAAATTTACCTCTATAATTTCAAATTTTTTCTAGCCGTTGTAAAATTTCAAATTTTAAAAAACCGTTAAATGATAAACTTTTTCTATATGGAAATTCATTGCAGCAAATTATTAATTATAATCAAATGCTGATCGCTTCGTCAAAAATGCGCTGAAGTCCCTCGATCAATAACACGAGGACTTTTGTAATTTTTTTGAAATAGTCACTTTAATATTTTTTTTTATTTCATCATCAGTGTCGTCATGATTTGGTATGTTGATAAGAGTATGAAACCACATTCAGGAAAATTAAAGGCTCTTAAAGGAAGAGTAAAGAGTAGACAGAGATTTTTGTAGTCATTGTGAGTGAAATGTGAGCGCATAATTTTTTTGTAAGCAAAATTAGAATTTATGGCTGCAGTTTTGAATCTGAAAGAAATTTTTGAAATTTTGCAAATTGTTATATCATAAATAAAGGAGAAGTCAGGAACCATGGAGAGACAGAATATACAATCTAAAGTATTTTGGGGTTTACAGTTGCATAGTAGTTCGTCTGTAGCTTAATTCTTTGGTATCTTCTAATTAATCATGAGTTTGAATCTCATAAATGGAAGCTTTCACTTGTTTTAGATGAGAAGACTTAATCTCATTTCTTAAGACAGTAATGTTGGTAGACAAAAAACAGGGGCATAGCCAGGGGGAGTCATTAGATGCTATGGCACCGACCCCTCCTCTCTCTCTTTCTCTCTCTCTCTCTCTTAAGATTGAAATTTCTTTCAAATTTTTGCAACAAGCTAGTTTTTGTAGTTTTCCAGGATATTTACAAGCAGGTATGCTATTGTCGTAGAGCTGGATTCGATTAAAATCCAGCTCATTGCTGAGTCATGCCGGCTCGTCAGTTTTGTGTCATGTCATGTTTTCAGTTTTGTTATCGATTTACCAACTTGTGCTCTATAGAGTTTAATAAGTTTCGAAACAAATAGAGAGAGTATCCTTGGTAGCACTAGGAACCTACCTCTGATATCTGCTTAACCCAGTATCATCAAAACTTTGTGCCTCTGCACACCAGTGTGCCATAGAATTTTTCTGAAATAACACAAGCCACATGATGTAAGCGACATAGATTAGGGCTTACCCCTCAGGTGTGACGTAGCTTAAAAAGTTTGGACAACACTTTTTTAAGCCTAAAAACTCATTTCTCTTGCATTAACTCATAAATTACATTAAATTAGCACAGCTTTGATATGAATTGCTAGAAAAATTATATAAGCATCAAAAATAATGCAAACA